CTCTCGTGTTTTCCCCCGTCTTCATGTACATACATCAGAGTTTCTGACCAAGTCATTTTCCTTCTCTCCGTAGTTCTTTTAACATTTTCTGCTAAGTACTTGTGAAATCCCTCAATTTTTGTTTGCCTGACAAAATCTTCCATTATTCAGATTTGGAGGATAATTTCACTGTATTCAGAATTGTAGGTTGGCAAATTTTCCTCTTAAATATTAATCCCCCCCCCCGTGTGTGTGTGTGTGTGTGTGTGTGTGTGTGTGTGTGTGTGTGTGTGTTTGTATTCTGAAGAGAAGCCTGGTTTTCTTGTTCTAGCCTCTATTAGGTGTTTTCTTTTCGATAGCTTTTTTTTTTTCCCCATGATTTTCTGTCTTTGGTGTCCTGCAGCACCACTAGAAAACATTTATTTATAACTTTTTATCCTGTTTTGTAAAAATCTTTTTAGATGTGTGAGTAGGTATCTTTGTTTTGTTTTTCTGAGGCAGGGTCTCACTATGTAGTTGAGACTGACCTGGAACTCACTATGTAGCCCAGGCTGGTCTCAAACACACAGCGATCCTCCTGCCTCAGCCTCCTGAGTGCTGGGATTATAGGCATGTGCCACCAGGCCTGGCTGTGGGTAGGTATCTTGACATTAATTTGAAGAAATTTTCAGTCTTCATTACTTATTTCCTCTCTCTCTCCCTTCTTCCCCCTCGTTTTGAGATAGGGCCTTGTTACGTAGTCCAGGCTAGCCTTGAACTTGCAGTGATCATCCTGCCTCAGTGTCGTGAATGCTGGGATCACAAATGTGCTCCACCGTGCCTGGCTTCTGTCTCTCTTTCTTCTGCTTTTCCTCATGACCATGATATTGTTTTGATTTCTACAATTCTCAGTTGACTCTTTCTTAGGATTTTCATCTCTCTACTTACATCACCCACCTTTTCTTGCATGATAACACACTTTCAGACTCCTGAGCATGTTATTCATAGCTGTTTGAAATTCCTAGTTTGCCAGTTATAACATCTGCCATAGCTGAGGTCTGGTGCTTGCTCTGTGTACTCCCAACTATGCTTTGCCTTTCAGTATGCCCTGTAATTTGTCACTGAAATCTAGACATGCTGTTCCAGTACAAGGAACTTGGGTGTGGGTTATTTAGTCCGGAGTGTGAGGTTTCATTGTTTTCTGCTTGAGCTTTGGACTCTGCTTCCTATAACTGTTAAGTGTCAGCAGTTAAAATTTCCCTTGGTGGGCCAGGGATTTAGTGCACTGGTGCCAGTGCCAGCCTTGGAAGCACAAGGTTCTGAGATCAATCCCTGGTACCAAAAAAAAAAAAAAAAAAAAAAAAAAAAAAAA